TAGCTTTTATTTTCCCAAATCGCCGAACTGCACCAGCTTGTATTTGAGACAGGCGTCTATATGAGACAGGCCTTTAATTTAGTGTTGAGATGTTGTTCATTGAGTGTAGGCCTAGAGATAACGAGCCAAATAGCAAAACTGATAGAAGGAAAGCATTACAGTAGGAGGTTACCACATTATATTACGTTTTATTTATAATTCAAATGTGTTTAACAAATCAGTTAATGTAAGAATTAAGGGTGAGACCGGACAGAGCCGGATTATCCATAAGGGCACTTTGGCCAGTGCCCAGGGGCACCAACCATTCACAACCACTAGGGGGGCACCACATGACACAAGCTTTAAAAATATTTTTCGTAAATTGTTATATTATTAACTTGAAATTCTTGAAAGACCATACATAAGTCGTTTATGAACACTAATTTAACAATAATAATAATTATAGATTATAAATAAATAAAGATTACATGACAACTATCACTCCACCCCTCCCTCCCCAATCTGTCAGAGTTGAGTTGGTCCACAATAAGTACGCGCAAATTTGTCATTTTTTTAACGGCTACAGAAAATGAATCTAAATCCAAAATGGACAGACGTCAATTGAGTGGTTTTGCAAAAAGAAAGTTAAAGAAAGACAAGGACGCTAGACGTTTAGCTACAATTCAAAATGTTCCAGGGATCGAAAGTTTTTTTGTGAGAACATCACTAGATTTTTGTGAGAACATCACAGGAATTGCGATCACTAGCAGCGCTGAGTCTGACGAAGCCGGAGATAACTGTGGAGATGGTAACACTAGCATCTCAGATGGTACCGCCGGTGCTAGCGCCTCCTATATTTACCTTTCACAATATAAGTTACCTTTTAATTTTTTTGTTCTGAAAGTTCTCACATCGTATTCTACAAGCTCTCACATTTTGCACTATATTTACCTTTATAGACATTGGACATATGGTCGAAAGCACTTCCAGCCAGGTACATGAGAGGTCAAGGAGATGGCGATGAGGAAGACCTGGGGGAAGATGAGGACGTTAGGGATGTCGTCAATGAAGACACCTCCAGGCCAGATATGCCGCCAAAGCCTGTGGATCATTTTACCCTCTCAACTGATCCCTGCACTACGGGGAGATCTAACCGAGCTAAGGATAGAACTGGCTATTTCTAAAGGTTCTGCCGCAGTTTCACGAAATTCGATCCCGAATTTCTGGATAATTGAGGTGAAAGGCATATATTTGTGATTTTCAAATACGTGGTGAAGGTGGGTGATGCCATTTTGTTGCCATTTGCGGAAATAAATCGGTTCATTGTGAAGACGAAAGTCAGGGTTGTGCCAGATGGGGGTGTACCTACATGGTGAGTGATTTGGTGATTTTGTTGGTTTTCCATCAGGCTGCCAGAGTTGTTGCTATTGTGATGTTATGATAGAAGTCCAGTTTTTTGATTGACTGTGGTAAAAAGGGGAGGTCTGCGATTGAATTGGGGGAGCACAAGAATTGCTCAAGATCAAGCCATGGGTTGGAATGTGTCTGTTGTTGAGTCCATTTATATAGATACTGCAGTTGGTTCGCCAGATAATAGTGCATGAAATTTGGTGCTTCCAGGCCTCCTAAGTGTTTTGTGTTTTGAAGTGCTATCCTTGGTTTTTTTATTTTTCCAATAGAAGTGGGTGGTAAGGGAATCTAGTTTTTTGAACCAATAGTCCGTCGGGGTAATTGGAATCATTGAAAACAGGTAATTGATCTGGGTATCTTGATTGTTGCGATACGGCCTATAAGTGTGAGTGGGAGCTTGTTCCATCGTTTATAATCATCTTCTATTTTCTTGAGGAGTGGGGAATAATTTAGGTTGTATAGCTCTGACAGCCTGTGGGAAATTGATATACCTAAGTACTTGATGTTACCCGTGTTTAGGGGAAGGGAAGGGTTGTGAACTGTCACGAAGCTGCTGCGTGAGGAAACTTCAGGAGACGAAAAGCAGGTTAACAGTCTTTGATGAAAACAAGGCAGAGCCGCAACGGCCGGTCAACAGAAATTGTCTCAAAATATTCTTGAAGAAACAGAGAAGCGCACGCAGCAGGTCTTGTGGACTGGAAAAGGGTGAGCAAAGGAGAACTGGAGAAGCGCAGATCCCTCAAACCTCTTCTGGACTCAACACAGGTAACCGCTGATCTGGAAAAGTTACAGGTGGATAACAGACAACTGGACTAGACGGGACATAACAAATAACAAGAGTTCAATAGCGGTAACGAACGTGACGGTCAACAATAATCCGACAAAACTAGAGTGAAACACGAGAGACTAGAAATAGAGAGTAACTAATGATAGAGGATAGAGAACAGGTGCGATAATGAGAGGATGAGAATCAGCTGGGGAAGATAAGTAGTAAATGAAGAGTGAGAGCGAACAAAAGGGAACAGATACAGAGAATGATCAGAAGAGGGAGACAGAGACCAATAAAACACGAAAAGGGAACCAGGATCATGACAGTACCCCCTCCTCAAAGTGCGCCCCCTGGCGCACTCAAAGAGGAAGACTGACGAGAGCAAAAGAAATCGTCGATGAGCGAGCGGTCCAGGACATCCCGGGGGGGAATCCAGCTTCTCTCCTCAATACCATAACCCTCCCAGTCGACCAAAAACTGATGGCCACGACCACGAGGACGGACATCAAGGATCTTACGGACCCGGTAGACTGGGGAACCCTCGACACGAACCGGAGGGTTAACTGGGCGGGGGGGGGGTGGGGGGGGTTGGCGAACAACAGGCTTGAGAGAAGAGACATGAAACACGGGGTGAACACGGCGGAGATTGGATGGCAATCTGAGCCTCACAGAGGCTAAGGACCTGAATTATGCCATAGGGCCCAATAAATTTGAGGGCCAGTTTACGAGACGGATACTGGAGAGGAAGATTGGCGGTGGAAAGCCACACTCTTTGACCAATGACATAACGGGGACTCTTGATACGACGTCTGTTAGCGGACCGACGGGTGATGGAGCGAGACTTCTCAGCGGATCTCACCGTCCTCCAGGTTCGTTTGCAGCGTTGGATAAATGCATTTACAGATGGAACGTTAGATTCAGGACTCGAGGAAGGAAAGAGAGAGGGTTGGTACCCTAAACAGCTCTGGAAAGGAGATAGGCCGGTGGCGGACGAGGGAGCGGAATTGAACGCGTACTCTGCCCATGGAAGTTGCTCAGACCAGGAGGCAGGGTTGCGGTAGGCGAGGCTTCGCAGAATTCGGCCAATGGTCTGATTAGCGCGTTCAGCTTGTCCATTGGTCTGGGGGTGAAAACCCGAGGAAAGGCTGACCGTGGCTCCGATGAGGCGACAGAACTCTTTCCAAAACAGGGAAGCGAACTGTGGACCTCTATCGGATACGATATTCTTAGGAAGACCGTGGATCTTAAAAATGTGATCGACAACAATTTGGGCGGTCTCCTTGGCGGAGGGAAGCTTTGGAAGAGGGACAAAGCGAGCCGCTTTCGAAAATCGATCGACGACAGTAAGAATTACAGTCTTTCCACCCGATATTTTATATTAAAACTGAAAACATGATGTGATTAACACTCAAGTCATTCAAGTCATCGTGTCTCAAGTCAAGTCAAGTCCCGAGTCTTTAACTTCCAAGTCCGAGTCAAGTCTCAAGTATTTCATTTTATGTCAAGTCAAGTCACAAGTCCTAAAAATAGCGACTCGAGTCGACTCGAGTCCAAGTCACCAAGTCCCTATGTCTGGTGCTTTCACATATGCTGCGTTTGCAGTGCGTAACTGATCCGTGGCTGTACCACAAACACATACTCACTATTTTTATTTCAAATCCAGAAGTTATGCAGCAACTTTTATTAAAAAAAAAAGTTTTGTCAGCATTGCGATTCTCTTTGTGCACATATACAAACTTGAATGGACGTATGCATGTTTAAACACAATTTAAACAACGTAGGCCTATAGTTCCATGCATTACTTCTATATTAAGTTGCTCAAGCAAGTGGTCAAATATTTAACCATGTACTTAATGAATGTACAATAAATCTTGCATGTCACAAAGAACTTGTTTTTTCCACCTCCACGAATGAGACGAGTGTCGTTCATTATGTCCTTGTTGAGGTAAATTGTAGTGTTCCTTGCTTAACCCCGGTCAGACTTAAAGTAAAAAGATGACTGTGAAAAAAAATAGTATTTAATTAAATACATGTATGGTGAGATTACTACATTTTATTGACAATGCATTTATTGTGAAATTACTACATTTTCAGGTCAATCTGTGTTCATTTTGACCACGAACCGTGTGCGGTCACTTTAATTCAGCGTTTGCAGCAGCAAAAATAGACTCGGTGCGGAAACGATCGCTGCACTGCTGTATACGCACTGCAACTGGAACGGATCGACGGACTGCATCCGCGTGCAGTGTGAAAGCAACCTGTTAACATGGGTACGGAAAAAAATACGCACCGCAAATGGAGTATGTGTGAAACGGGCGTTACAGATCATGTAGTTTTTTGTTAATACAAAAAAGTTGGTAGAGCCACCAAAAATAAAATGTACAAAATAACCATAGTGAAATTATGTGAAGTGGCATTTTGGGGAAACGGAAGCAACAGTAAATACACAATACTAACATGAACTAATGAAACATATGGAGTCTGACAGAAGTCTCAATAGCTTTCATGCCAGTCTTTCAAAATAAAAGCCTTTGCATCATAAAATCATAAAATTATAGAATGTTATGTTTGTTGTTGTTTCTTTGAATGCAAACTCCATGACCCACTCTTTTCGAAGCAACTCCATATTTTGTTCATCTCACACCATTTACTTGAATGTATTTGACATGAAAATGAAATGTTTCTCATTGTGACGATTTCGACATATCTTCATGTGAGTTAGAAGGCTTTTTTATATATATTAAACTCACACTGAGTGCAGTCGTACGGCTTTTTTTTGTTCTTGTGGCATTTCACAGCAACACTAGTTTATTAGTTAATAACTAACAACACATTTACTTTATGTGAATCTAACAAAACATTTACTCACTGTGACACAGAACAATGCGTTCTAATATGATTCACTAAACTATTTGAATGTCTGAAACTCTTCTCACACTGAGTACAGTAGTACGGCTTCTCTCCAGTATGAACTCGCTCGTGTGATTTCAGGTGTGTAGACTGAGTGAAACTCTTGTCACAATATGAGCACTTGTAAGGTTTTTCTCCAGCATGAATTCTTTGGTGCAGTTTCAGATATTCAGATGTAGTAAAGCTCTTCCCACAGTCACAACACACATGATCTCTCACTTCATTATGTGTTTTCTGGTGCTGTTTAAAACTGTCCAGTTGTGAAAAACTCTTTCCACAGAGAGAGCACACATAAGGCCTCTCATCTGAATGAACTTTCAAGTGTTTTTTTAGATTTGATGATGAAATAAAATCTTTACCACACTGATCACAGTTAAATGGTTTTTCTCCAGAGTGAATGAGCAGATGAACACTGAGAGTTGATGCTTGAGTAAAACTCTCTCCACACTGAGTGCATGTATACGGTTTCTCTCCAGTGTGAATTCTCATGTGTGTGTTAAGGTTTCCTTTCCGTGAGAAACTCTTTCCACACTGAGTGCATGTAAACGGTTTCTCTCCAGTGTGAATTATCATGTGTCTGTTAAGGGCTCCTTTCTGTGTGAAACTCTTTCCACACTGAGTGCAGGTGTGCGTCTTTTTGACTTTTGTTCTTTGAATTGTAAAGTTACGATGTTCGTCCTCCACTTCATTCAGTTCTTGTCTTTGCTCTTTCACTCTCACCTGGTCTAAAATACACAGAAATACAGTTAGAATCAGTTCAAGTGAACCCTTGTTTAATAGCAGAGAGCAACAGAGATCAGATCTTTAATTTTTTTTCTGTCAACTTTTTTTGTTCTATGTTTGCCAACTGCTATATACAAGTTTATGATCATTTGGATGTATTTCTCGAACATTTATCATCCATATACTGCTTATTAATTGACTTCTACCAAAGCGTCAACAATGAAGAATCAAGAATGGACACCAACCTATTTGTTCCTCAGTATCTTCATGTTTTATTCTGGATGGTTCTGGATCACTCATGTCTTCAATCTCCTCTTTAATAAACTCCATCTTTAACAGTCACACAGATTTCAGCTGCTACTCCTGGAGTTTGTCCTTCTCTTGTAGGATGATGGGAATTTTCCCAGTATTTATTGGTGAATTGTTGTGGGAGGGGCTTCACTGCAGGTGTGAACTGTGATCACTGTGTTTTTATCCAATCTGCATTTAAAAAGTACAGGGCCATCATGTTAAACTGAGCAGCTGAAAAACCTCTTTGTCTCCAAAAGTTCCATGTTTTCAGCTCATTCATTATGGTGATGTCTGAGATCTTCTGTAAATTGGCACATTAAATCGTTTTATTGGTGTCAACAGGCTGAAACAAACTACAGCATCATCACCTTTAACTTCAGTTCTTGTCTTTGCTCTTTCACTTCCATCGGGTCTGAAACATTAAAACATATTAAGTTGTTAGAATGAGTTTAAGGAGGATAAATGTGAATTTTCAAGTGAACCCTGATTTAATAAAAACAAGTGAGATCTGTTTATCAAATATCATATTTTTGTGGTCTGAAGTAATAACATCGCTGCGAGATCTAGTGAGAAACATTCACATTTCTCCGTTCAAACAGTCAGTGGAAACCAGGAGAAACATTGTGCCATGAATGAACTATTCAGTGTCCACAGATCAGCAACATTCACCATGGGTTTACTGTAGTAACACTACTAACTGTAACCATGGAGGTTTGGCAGGAATAGTAGACTATAATGCTTTCAAGTAACATTACGTAGGTTTTATTTTGACATTATGAATACAATTGCTGCCCTCAAATGTTAATCTGAACTAAAATAAACCTTTGTTTAACTACTACAACATTACATTTCAATCTGTCCAAGGAGCTGTTTTGTTTTATATGCTCCTAAGAAAAGTCAAGTAGCCTATAGCTCCATCATTGCTCAAAGTAAAAAAATATCATAATCTATGATGTTAGTTTTAATTAAAATATAATTAAAAAAATGAAATCAAGGAAATTTCTCTGGCATTTCTTTCTTTTTGCTGTATTGAAAACGTACCGAATTAACCGTCCCGAACCGTGACACAAGTGTATCGTATCGAACCAAACCGTGAATTTTGTGAACCGTTACACCCCTAATATATATATATATTAGGGGTGGAGCCGAACCCGAATACAGTATTCGGAAAGGTACAAATAACGTGTTTTTTACGAATAGTTATTCCGAACTATTACTTAAAAAAAATATTTGTATTCGGGAACAAGAAAAACTTTATATCAAAAAGCTGCGTTTCCTCACGAGACCGCAGTGCATGCACGGATGAGTGAGTTAAAGTGAGTGAGTGACGTTCAGGAAGAGGTGACTGACACAAGCTGCTCCACAGACACAGCAACAGAGAGGGCTCGGCTGAGCGAAAAAACACTTAACTGCATCACTATTTTTGTATAATAGATTTTTTTTACCTTAACTGGGTTCCGGAGGCAGTTTATAACTTTCGGGAAGCGGAGTTTGATCGGGAGATTATTCCATTACGCTGCATTATTGACGTCTGCAGTCGGCTGCTCTCATGTTCGCTCTGTTTACGTAGCTCTGTTAGCTCGGTAATTTAGACAATAGGCTGTTGACAGAGTAACTTTAACGTTCGGTTAAAAAGGTTAAAAAATGCTTGTGTAGTTGTGTCGAATTGTATGCACTTGTGGGAATTATATGGTACGCAGACATCCCAAGTCTCTATTGATAGCAGCTCCCTGAAATTAGTTCAAATCTCCCGGAATCTAACGCGCATGCGAGACAGAACATAGGCCTACTGTGTTCCAAACCGTGTAGCGCGCGCACGGAAGAGAGGGAGAGACCTTGCCGTGTGTGCGTTATGAAAGCTAGTCACATGTAACACCGCTGCGGTTTTGCTTACCGGCTTTTCTTTGCTTTTGTTTTGCTTACGGGCATTTCTATATATTTGTTTTGCTTATGGGCATTTTTATATTTATTGTTTTGTTTGGCAATGTATTATTATTTTCTTGTAAAGTGTGTATGCTTCTTGCCTCATTTACTCTCTGGTTATATATATATAACCGGACATATATATCTGGATACATGGATATATATATTTTCTCTTGCTGTATGCAGTGTCGTCCGGGGTCCTGAGTGCTATAAACACAGTGTCTGTAACTTTTAATTTTGACTTTCTTCTTTGAATTATTTAGGTAGTTTTCTTTAGTTAATGTGTCTTTTTTCCTTCCTCTCCAGAAAAGAAAGTGAGGACTCAGTGTGGAACAGGGGAGGCTAGCTGCTTTTATTCTGTGGTGTGCTTCACAGTGTGCTGTGTGTGCTGACACAACTTACATATATGGTGTGTGCACGTGGTGGCTGATTTGGTGTGAATTTAGGTGTGAATGAGCACAGGACATTGTCTTGTCCAAACTTTTCTCCTTCCTTATATCTGCATCCCCTCTCCCTCCTCCCTTCCTTTCCCCCTGATTCAAGTCATGTCTATACATCACAAATGATGTATTTGGTGAATCTATTCCTTTCCAGGTTTGGAACCATTTTAAATGTCTCAGTGCGATTGGTAAAATGGTCTAAATTTCATTGCAGTCATTGGAATTTTGAGAAAGACTGAACACTTAGGAGAATCCTGTTCTTCTCTTTGGGTGGTGTCTCTTCAAGATATCTGATAATCCTCTCCTCTCCCCCGAAACCAGGTGTTACCCTTTTGTTCTGGTCTAGGTACGACCAGATGAAAACATTACCTCATCTAAATTGACAGAATGTCTCAAAGATATAAAATGCTGGATGACGCGTAATTTCCTGCTATTAAATTCAGATAAAACGGAGGTATTACTTATTGGTCCAAAAAACTACACACAAAACCTCTTACAATACGACTTTAATATAGAAGGATGCCCTGTTACTTTTTCCACTACAGTAAAAGACCTGGGTGTTATACTAGACCGCAACTTGTCTTTCGAAAATCATATTTCATCTGTTACAAGAACAGCCTTTTTCCACCTTAGAAACATTGCTAAATTACGTAACATGCTATCTGTTTCTGATGCAGAAAAGTTAGTTCATGCATTCATGACCTCGAGACTAGATTACTGTAATGCTTTATTAGCTGGTTGTCCTGCATCCTCAATAAACAAGCTACAGTTAGTGCAAAATGCAGCCGCTAGAGTTCTTACTAGATCAAGAAAATATGATCATATAACACCGATTTTATCATCTCTGCACTGGTTACCTATTAAGTTCCGTATCAATTACAAAGTACTACTACTGACCTATAAAGCCCTTAATGGTTTAGCTCCTATGTACTTAACGGACCTTCTTTCACCCTACAATCCACCGCGTTCTCTAAGATCACTAAATTCAAGGCTTCTGGTCATTCCTAGGATATCGAAGTCCACGAAAGGAGGGAGGGCATTCTCGCATTTAGCTCCAAAACTCTGGAATAGCCTTCCCGATACGGTCCGATGCTCTGACTCGCTGACACAGTTTAAAACTAGACTAAAGACGTGTCTCTTTAGTCAAGCATTCACATAATGCTTACCTTTTAGTCCTCTGCTATGCCATACGGAACCGTTTGCCACTGAAACTGCTTAACGCACCAGTGGGGCTCGACAGCCTTATAGACAAACGGGTCGGTCCGTATGGTTGCGGTTGGGTTGCGGAGGGTTTGGGTTGCGGAGAGTTGTGAGATTATGGTTTTCTAACACCTACTCCCGTGTAATGGAAATCATTATGAACATCAGCTATGCTAATTATTTCCCATCTGCCTTTCTGCTGTTATCTCGGGACGCTTGTCCCGAGAAAAATGGCGTTCGTAGGCTCCAGTTTGGTATCCTGCCTCTCACGGGGATTTCGGATGCCTCAACGCCTGTGATGAGAAGACCAACGCCTGTGAAGAGACGACTCAACGCCTGCGAAGAGACGACTCAACGCCGGCGATATGTTATCCCCTAAATATTACATGATTAACTAAATGTATTTTTTCCAGGTACTCTCTGATATGCACTTACTGTAAAGCTTCTTTAAAACCCTATGATTGTTAGCCAGAGGAGAACTGGCCCCTGACTAGCCTGGGTTCTCCCAAGGTTTTTTTCTCCATCCAATCTGATGGAGTTTTGGTTCCTTGCCACTGTCGCCTTGCTTTTGGCTTGCTTAGTTGGGGATATTTAATATTCAACAATATTATTGAACTGTGTTGTACTACTTTCATGTTATCACTGTGAAGCTGCTTTGATGCAATCTGTATTGTGAAAAGCGCTATATAAATAAATGTGACTTGACTTGACTTGACTAGGTATATAAGGGTAAGTGGCAGAGCAGTCTTTGGGGAATCTGTAACCAGAAAACCCCCATGCGGTGCTTTGTCACTGTTTTCCCGTCAGAACACACTCACACACCACTGTGTGTTTTTATCAGGAATGCATTTCTTACTCTTAGAGTCATCTTTGAGCAATTGATGTTATGTATTTATTATTTCTGAATTGGGTTTATCCTCATCCTGCTAGATCGGTCTTCTTTGTTTGACACAGTTAACCACCAGTTCCTCCTGTCAAACCTAAAGACGAAGGGCATCTCGGGAAGCGCACTCCAATGGTTCAAGTCTTACCTCTCAGGTAGGTCCTTTAGGGTGTCGTGAAGGGGTGAGGTGTCTAAAGGTTGCACATTGAGTCAGAAATTTTCGTATGCGTTTTTTCGTATTCGTGATTTGGTGGCTCTGAACTGTCAAAACACTATTCAAAATGCTTGCTACGGATGCGAAAAACGCAGAAAATCGAACCCGATCCAAACATTTTTTATGACGGACGAAAGTTTCAGAGGCAGTGTGTAAGCGTGATTGACAAAACATGAGGTCATATTTATTTTTTAACGTGCGAAAATTTCGGACTCAGTGTGCAAGGACCTTAAGACCCAACATCTAGCTACTGGGGTGCCTCAGGGCTCAGTGCTTGGACCACTTCTCTTCTCCATCTACATGACATCACTAGGATCTATGATTCAGAGACATGGCTTTTCCTATCACTGCTATGCTGATGACACACAACTCTACCTCTCATTCCAGCCTGATGATCTGACAGTAGATGCTCGTATCTCAGCCTGCCTGACAGACATTCCTTGCTGGATGAAGGACCACACACCTTCAACTAAACCTTGCGAAGACAGAGCTACTTGTGGTCCCGGCCAACCCAACACTTCATCACAACTTCTCCATTCAGCTAGGCTCGTCATCCATAACTCCATCAAGGTCAGCCAGGAACCTTGGAGTTGTAGTTGATGATCAATTGAACTTTACAGACCACATTGCTAGAACTGCCCAGTCCTGCAGATTTGCCTTAAACAATATTAGGAGGATCGGGCCCTTCCTATCGAACATGTTACACAACTTCTTGTCCTAACGCTTGTTCTATCCAAACTGGACTATTGTAATGCTCTCCTGACTGTTCTTCCAGTTTGCTCTGTCAAACCTCTGCAACTGATCCAGAATGCTGCAGCCAGAGTGGTCTTTAACGAGCCGAAGAGAGCACAAGTCACTCCTCTCATCACAAAATTGCACTGGTTGCCATTTTCAGCTCTCATCAAATTCAAGTCACTGACGTTTGCCCTAGAGAACAACCACTGGCTCTGCTCCCTTTTACCTAAACTCATTACTTCAGACTTAAGTGCCATCCAGAATATTGCGCTCTGCAAGTGAACATCGTCTTGTGATGCCATCTCAAAGAGGCACAACATCTCTTTCTCAGACCTTCACCTGGTCTGTTCCCTGCTGGTGGAATGACCTGCCTAACTCAACCAGAGCTGCTGAATCCGTGGCCATTTTCCAGAAACGGCTGAAGATGCATCTTTTTCGGCAACACTTGATCCATTAATACTAACGCTTTCTCTTCTATTCTAAATCTATAAGGACATGTACTGCATTAGATTAAACTGGGAAGGGTTTAATCTAACAGAGCTATTACAGCACTCTTCTGATATTTGATTTCTGTGCATTTGCTTCAGAGCTTTTGTGGTGGAGCAGGGCCTGCAAGGAAAGGTGACGGCGGCATTTGTGGGGTAAAACGGGCATTTTAGGGATCTTGCTAAAATATCAAATAAGGTCATTTTGTAACTTCTAATACTGGAATCAAATGACATTGTGCTGTTAATTTTTACCCTTAAATGGGTTTGGAAGTTTTTAGGGTTTACTATTTCGGGGACAGACCCAGTCTCTATGTGATAATATCTAGGTGAAAGAGTCTCCATGTGATGGGATTTATCTGACTTCAGTGACGTGAGACAGACGGTCGGTTTAGCCAGTCTGTCTGCTTCCTGACCTGGGCCCCAGTTAGTCAAGGTTCAACTCTAAGACTAAGGCCTATCATTCTCCCGGTGCAATGCAGCGCCAGACGAGATGCGCGTGTTTTTTGTTCGTTTCAGCCTGACACAGTTATCATTTTCACACCCATCGCCATGTTGTTTAAAAAGCAAATGCATATGCATCCCTGGGCCGCGGGTCAGAAAACGAAGAGCGTTGCTATTTTAAGGCAACTGAAATAATTTTTTTTAGCTATTTTAAGAATGTTTTAGTAATATGCGCCTATAGTCGGGTCCAACACGTGCGTACACTCTGCTTATTGAACACACAGGGACACGCAACAGCACACAAACATGCCAAATATTAAAAATAAAAGGATTACAATGTAATAGACTATTATTGTGGACATAAAGATAGGTTGGAATCCGGCTTGTCCCGTAGATGGTCTCGCTTTAACCTCAAGCACACACACACACATTAATTAAGAGAATTAATTGCGCCGGGTGCGCCGATCATTATTCCCGTTGGTAAACTAGCAAAAGTGGATTCGGATATAATAAATAATTAGCAGCAAAGAAAATTAAATTTGGAAAAAGGAATTTGATTTGTTTCACACTGTAAACTGCTTTGATTTGGAGTGAGAGATAAGAGTGGCTAAACTGCTTTTGATTTGGAGTGAGTGGCTTTATTGATTCAGATACATGTCACTGCACTGATTGGTCCAGTTTTGGTCTGCGATCTCTAACCCAGAATAAAACCTGCTCCAGAACAGCTTAGCCGTGTAGTGTAAGTTACCATGGTGATGAACACAACTAAAAACCAATCCACTTTCTTGAGCCCGAAAAAGCCAGAGTTTGCTCAAACTAATCTCAAACTTTACCTGTTAGCAAATGAAACCAGCTTTGTGAAACAGGCCACAGGACGTTTTTATTGTTTTACTAGAGACAAAGAACTGCCTTAAACTGACAGCTAAAAGTCAGAAAGTTACAACTTAAAAACAACTTCCACAAAACTAACGTCACAGAATTAAAGTTTATTTCACTATACGTTTGCTTTATCTGAATCTGTTTATTTTAATTATTGAATCTGTAGAAACCTTTTACTCACAACATCACACATTGTCAGTGAAATTTCAATTTTATTTGTTGCAATATTGTACATACACTCACCTAAAGGATTATTAGGAACACCATACTGTGCACATCATACACATACCAAACTAATACTGTGTTTGACCCCCTTTCGCCTTCAGAACTGCCTTAATTCTACGTGGCATTGATTCATCAAGGTGCTGAAAGCATTCTTTAGAAAAGTTGGCCCATATTGATAGGATAGCATCTTGCAGTTGATGGAGATTTGTGGGATGCACATCCAGGGCACGAAGCTCCTGTTCCACCACATCCCAAAGATGCTCTATTGGGTTAAGATCTGGTGACTGTGGGGGCCATTTTAGTACAGTGAACTCATTGTGATGTTCAAGAAACCAATTTGAAATGATTCGAGCTTTGTGACATGGTGCATTATCCTGCTGGAAGTAGCCATCAGAGGATGGGCACATGGTGCCCATAAAGGGATGGACATGGTCAGAAACAATGCTCAGGTAGGCCGTGGCATTTAAAACGATGCCCAATTGGCACTAAGGGGCCTAAAGTGTGCCAAGAAAACATCCCCCACACCATTAAACTACCACCACCAGCCTGCACAGTGGTAACAAGGCATGATGGTCCCATGTTCTCATTCTGTTTACGCCAAATTCTGACTCTACCATCTGCATGTCACAACAGAAACCGAGACTCATCAGACCAGGCAAAATTTTTCCAGTCTTTTTCCTATTTGTAGTGGAGATGAGTGGTACCCGGTGGGGTCTTCTGCTGTTGTAGCCCATCCGCCTCAAGGTTGTGCGTGTTGTGGCTTCACAAATGCTTTGCTGCATACCTCGGTTGTAACGAGTGGTTATTTCAGTCAAAGTTGCTCTTCTATCGAATCAGTCGGCCCATTCTCCTCTGACCTCTAGCATCAACAAGGCATTTTCGCCCACAGGACTGCCGCATACTGGATGTTTTTTCCCTTTTCACACCATTCTTTGTAAACCCTGGATATTGGTTGTGCGTGAAAATCCCAGTAACTGAGCAGATTGTGAAATACTCAGACCGGCCCGTCTGGCACCAACAACCATGCCACACTCAAAATTGCTTAAATCACCTTTCTTTCCCATTTTGACATTCAGTTTGGAGTTCAGGAGATTGTCTTGACCAGGACCACACCCCTAAATGCATTGAAGCAACTGTCATGTGATTGGTTGATTAGATAATTGCATTAATGAGAAATTGAACAGGTGTTCCTAATAATCATTTAGGTGAGTGTACATCTGTTTATGTAAAAACAGGCTTTATTTAAAGGGATACTTCACCTCTGGAAAGATGTATGTGTATTTAAAATGGGTCATGTAGAAGAAATGTGAAATTATTTTAGAATTTGGAGCTTTCTAGACTGAGAAAAGCCAGAAAATGTATTTTTGGCTTATGTGGATGTAAGACAACAACTCCCAGAATGCACTTGCTTCACTGCCCTAGGAGGCCACGCCTACCGGAACAGAGCGCAGTAGTTAAACAACAAGTCTAGGCTATTGAGTCTCCGTGATGAGTCTGCCCGGGATTTCGAGATCACCCAAAATGTCCGGGATTCGGCTTTTGCGTTCTACAGTCGCCATTCATTATGTTTACTGTGGCGAGCAGGACGAGTGATCGGTTGATGTGCGTTTTGACACGAGGCCGGTGGCGTGATTACTGATGAGCGACACCTGTGAGACGCACCGGCCTCGTATCTCTCACGGAGGAGCGGGAATTTTTGTTAGCAATGTTAAAACGCACATCAACCGATCACTTGTTTAGCGTTCATGTAAACACTACATTCAGATTCACCAATTGGAATGAATTCAGTTAGATTGAAACAAACGGTGTGCATGTAATCAATGAATGGCGACTGCAGAAAGCAAGAGCTGAATCCCGGACATTTTGTACGATCTCGACGGCCGGACATGTCCGGGAAAAAGTCGATGGTAACCCCTACTACTCAGCTTTCTCCACAGAACAAGAGCCTGCTAGCTTAGCTTCCAAAAAAAGATGTCTGACACTATGTGTACATTCTGTGAGTGAGATCCCAGCCTCTATGGGCAGGTTGAGAACATATTGGCTGTAGTATTTAGCCTCTGGCCAAAAAATCCTCCGATGACGCAAAATGACGATTTTTGCGTCATCGGGAGGATTTTTCCCAAACAAAAAATACATAAATCTCTCGTCTCAGGGGGATATGAGGGTGGAAAGCACGGTAATTTGAAAATAATACAAGTTTTCTACTAATACAAAGCTTAATGCTAAATCCTAAAGTATCCCTTTAACAAAAAAAAAAAAAAAAAAAACCTGATCAAATTCAGGGAATTGTTTCATATATTAACAATAACTGATAGTTGTTCTTTTTCTACATTTGTTTCCAGTCTCTTTTAATTTTGGTAGTTTTTATTTCTCTGAGTAAGCGTTCAAACAAAATAATTTTCAATAATATTATTGTTCTCCAAAGTATAAAAAACTAATTTTGTTGCATTCACATCAACAATAGTTTATTAGTTAGCTAACAACACATTTACTTTATGTGAATCTAACAAAACAATGCTTTCTAATATGAGTCACTAGATTACTTGATTTGGTGAAACTCTTCTCACACTGAGTACAGTCGTACGGCTTCTCTCCAGTATGAACTCGCTCATGTATTTTCAGGTTTCCAGAACGAATGAAACTCTTGTCAAAATATGAGCACTTGTAAGGTTTTTCTCCAGAATGAATTCGTTGGTGCCGTTTCAGATTGCTAGCTCTAGTAAAACTCTTCCCACAGTCACAGCACACATGATTTCTCACTTCATTATGTGTTTTCTGGTGCTGTTTAAAACTGGACAGACGTGAAAAACTCTTTCCACAGAGAGAACACGCATAACCACACTGATCAAAGTTAAATGTTTTTTTTTCCAGAGTGAATGTGCAGATGATATTTGAGTCCTGATGAAGATGTGAAACGTTGTCCACACTGAGTGCATGGATACGGTTTCTCTCCAGTGTGAATTCTCATGTGTCTGTTAAAATGTTCTTTCTGTGTGAAACTCTTCTCACACTGAGTACAGTCGTAAGGCTTCTCTCCAGTATGAACTCGCGCATGTATTTTCAGAGATCCAGAATGAATGAAACTCTTGTAAGGTTTATGAGCACTTGTAAGGTTTTTCTCCAGTATGAATTCATTGGTGCTCTTTCAGACATTCAGCTCTAGTAAAGCTCTTCCCACAGTCACAACACACAAGATCTCTCACTTCATCATGTGTTTTCTGGTGCTGTTTAAAACTGGATAGACGTGAAAAACTCTTTTCACAGAGAGAACACACATAAGGCTTCTCATCTGAATGAACTTTCAGGTGATCTTTTACATTTGATGAAATAAAATCTTTACCACACTGATCACAGTTAAATGTTTTTTTTTTCCAGAGTGAACGCGCAGATGATGACAGAGTTGATGCATAAGAAAAACTCTTTCCACACTGAGTGCAGGTGTGCGTCTTTTTGGCTTTTGTTCTTTGAATTGTAAAGTTACGATGTTCCTCCTCCACTTCATTCAGTTCTTGTCTTTGCTCTTTCACTCTCACCTGGTCTAAAATACACAGAAATACAGTTAGAATCAGTTCAAGTGAACCCTTATTTAATAGCAGAAAGGAACAGAGATCAGGGGCCGTATTCACAAAGAATTTTATCTTACCACTAGGAGTACTCCTAAATCGCACTAAAATATTTTAGCTAGGAGTTTTCTCTTAAAAGTTATTCACAGCGCCTTTCAGACCTACTCTTAGTAAGGAAAAATGACAACTCCTAAACTAAGAGTGAGTCATCGTTGCTATGGATGACGTCACTTCTCATGCACGAGCTTCCTCACAATGATCACGGTGATTGGTTGTTAGATGACAGGGCCATCATGCGGAACATGACACAGACGCAACAAATCATGGAATTACGACATCTAAATATGTCTGTGTCCTACACAAAATAATAATAGTAATGTCATCGAAATGCATATATAATGACATGTTTGTGCAGGCCCCAGTGAAGTGTAATTCTAAAAAGG